ATAATACCAGCATTGGGTAATGCACTTTAATGTCAGTTCTCCCTAACAGCTCAGTATTCGCCACCTCCCACCACTGATAGGTTAGTTTACTGAATTGCCCCAAGAGTTATAAATGAATGAAACATTCAGAACCAATCTCTCTTCCTTTCATCTTCAGACAACAGTAAAACTATAGGGAAAACTGAAGGGGTGAAAAGCCTGACATTCTAACAGACAGCTCCTTGCTAATCCCACTTCCTCTTAGATACACCTTTTCTACAGAATTTGTTCCTTTCTCAGAAGTCTCTGCATTTTGCCCTGTTACAAATATAGCGCTGGAAAGCAAATACAGTATTTCTCTCCAAATCTAGGTCAATGAATTTGTCCTGAATAGGTCTTGACAAGACTTAATTTCCCAAATGTTCTTATGAATATATGTATCTCTCTCCGAGAAGTAAGGAAGCTCATTTCCAGCTTACCCTGATAAGCAGCATCTGTAGCCTTCCTCTTGACTTCTGCCTCCTCCTCCTCCATTTTTTTCTTTCTGTACACAGAACCAAAACCTACTGTCACAGAGTGTCCCACTTGCCCTTAGTTCCTCCTCTGCAATCAGCTTACTGACCCCCATTATCTCCAGACAACAATGAAATGCCTCTGTGGACTCAGGCTCAAATCCTCCCAGGAGGGAAGGTCAGTCAGAGAACAACCCACTTGGCAGGAAATTTCACTTCCAACTCGTTATCAGAACAGAGGAGGCAAGCATGATGTTGCAAGCCATTACCAAACTCTTTACTGAAAAACTCCAAATGATGTTTCACACAAGCTGGTGCCCCTCTGTCTAAACTAAGTCCTCCCTCAGAGGCCAATACATCTGCCCAGCTGCCCCATTTCTCCTAACCCAAAGTACGCGGAGTAAGAGATGTCTGACAAACACTCAGTGTCAGGGAACTACAATCCCAGAAGAAAGCATAACATGGAAATAATTAGATAACCCACATCATAATCTCATTGCACAGCTCCTCCAGTCTGTTATCCATGTGTCCGGCCTGGATCAGTTCTGCATCCTTCTTGAGTTGCCTGTAACCAGAAAATCTTCTTATTCACTTATCACTGACCAATACATCCTAAGCAGCATTTTCACCCCAAGCACTATCCCACTTAGGCCACTTTTTCAAGACTGGACTCTCAGATGCACTACAGCTTAACACCTCTGCCACATACCTATATTTTTCCTGTGTTTCTTTAATCATTTTCTTCAATTCTTCAACTCGTTCTGCAGTCAGTTTCCGCACAATAACATCTTCCACAGTTTCCACAACCTCCCCCTTCTCACCACGTTTTCTCCTAAAGAATTAAACAGTTCAGACATGAAACACAGAAAACTCCAGTTCTCCTTTCATAAATGGCTGCTGTCTTTCCTGACACACACATGCACATAAAAAAATCAACCTCTTCAAATCTTCCTTAAATGATACTGAATAGCACAATGTTCAAACAATCTCTTCTGAAAAATGTATCTAATTCTTAAATGTGTCCAGTGTTAAAGACTTCAACAGACTGAAGATGCAAACCTACTGCAAATTCTCTATCTGAAAAAAAATCAAACATTCCACTTCAAAGAAGATTCTTACTACTAACAGATATAGAAACATCTGTTTTTTTCTTTAATAACCCTGCTAAATCCTGTGTCTTGCAACTCTAGCGCTGAAGATCATTCAGCACTATCACAAATACTACTTTTAAACATCCTGCCTTTAACTTAATTTGATATGAAGTCCTAAACCAAAATGCCTGGAGTTACAAGTGAGAAGTATCTGAGACCACCAAGCTGTAGTAATAGCACTGATAAGAAAACTGTAAGAAACCACTGCAAAACAGAGACAAATACAAAACGTTTCCCCTTTTCACTCTTCCTGTCTTTTCTACCCCTATTCTGAATGAAAATGTTATATGTCTGAAGCTTCTGATCAGTAAGATTAACATGAAGTGTTTTATTCCAGCCAAATAAATGTTTTTTTCTGCTGCATTAAGTCCCCAAATGCACACTGCAACTTTTAGAAATGGAGTTATGGCAAAGAGGCCCCAATTACCCTGCCATGTATTGTAACAACAGTAGGGGCATATCGAAGACACTATCACTATCAAGTGACCAGTTTTAGAACCATGTAATACTGAAATACTTCAGCCTTATGAAAAAAGGAGACAAGGCAAAGACATATGGGAAGCACGTTCTAAGAAATACCTTGGGCTTGCAATCTCCCCCATCTGCCATACCCTGATCCCACTTTCCCTCACACCAGCTCTCACAACTGAATTTCCTCATTCCTGTTGTGCAGGAGCACTATCAAGTGCTTTGCTGTAAGAACTGGTAAGTCCACCACAAATTGTTGCAGGCTGCACTTGTGTCAGCCTTTGTACTCACTTAGGGGTCTCCGTAGTCTCCAAGAGCTCTGAATACTGAGATGCACAGTGCTAGGAAGAAACAAAGAAAGTCAGAGGACATCAAAGAGTCAGCTTCAGCAAAGTAAGGCCTATCAACAAAGCCTACAGTTACTCCTACTTCTTCAGAGGTCTAACACTTTAGGAACACATCTGACAGTCTTCTTCAGAGTTCCCCCATGGCTATAGTGTAGCGTAGCTCAAAGTGAGGAAGCGTATTCACTCTTTTACTCTAGCACTGCCCAGGCTGATCTTCAAAACAAAGCTAATGAACAGATGCTCCCAGCTGGCAATTTAGAAATCAAAGCAAGCAAGCATGATAAGGAAAACTATAGCTGTAATGTTTCTGTTCATGAACAGGAACCAAAAATATTTCAATGAAGAAGACAAAATAACATTTTATCAAGGTCAGTTTCATCACTTACAGAAACAGTAAGCAACATAATCTTTCCAACTTCTCCTCCCTTGATTCTCTTAGTCTCTGTCCCTTAATGCAACAAAAATCCCAGGTGCTTGCCCAAACAGCAGGACACACCAAATACATGGGTATCCACAGATTCCTGGTGGAAGGAATTCCACAGCTTAATTACATGCCTGGTGAAGAACAATCTCCTTAGGTTTGCTTTGAACCTGCCTCTTGTTAGTCTTACTTAATAGCCTCTAAATCTTGTACTAGACAAAGCACTGAATAGTTAAGCCTTATTCATCCTCAGCATGCCACTTATGATTGTGCAGACATCTGTCATATTTCTGCTACTCATCTCTCTTTTTTTTTTTTACGTTAAGGGTTCTACCTTGCTCAGCCACCCCTTACAAGGAAGCTGTTTCATGTCTTTGATCATCCTTGTGTTTTTCTTAACACTATCCAACTGTAAACTCAAATTTCATTTCAGAAACAGGAAGAAGTATTTAATCTGATTTAAATAATTTTTTTAAAATTTATTTTGCTCTTTTAAAAAAAAAATTCCAACATTTTGGCTGGGAGTTAATTTTCTTCATAGTAGCTTATATGGGGCTGTGTTTTGGATTTGTGCTGAAAACAGTGATGATAATAAAGGAATGTTTTGGTTATTGCTGAGCTGTGCTTACACAGAGTTAAGACCTTTTCTGCTTCTCACCTCACCCCACCCCACCAGGAAAGGGGCTGGGAGTGCCCAAGGAGCTGGGAGGGGGCACAGCTGGGACAGCTGACCCCAGCTGACCAAAGGAATAGCCCAGACCATATGGCATGATGTTCAGCATATAAAGTTGGGGAAGGAAGGGGGGAGATGTTCAGAGTGATGGTGTTTGTCTTCCCAAGTCACCGTTATATATGATGGAGCCCTGCTTTCCTGGGGATGGCTGAGCACCTGCCTACCAATGGGAAGTGGTGAATGAATTCCTGGTTTTGCTTTGCTTGTGTGTGTGGCTTTTGCTTTACCTATTAAACTGCCTTTACTTCAACTCACATTTTCTTTTAGTCTTCTGACTTACACTGTGAGTGAGTGGCTGTGTGGGGCTGGCTGGGGTTAAACCATGATGCTGTGGAACTCATTTTTTCCAAGATTCAAATGTCAGTGTCTTACCTTTTGTGAAAACCAGTCAGGTGGGCGCCCTGGCTCTGCAAAAGGTTTGATAGCTCTGCTGACTGATACCCTACAGGAAAGAAATGGCAAGACGCTGTCAATGTACTTTCTTCCCCAACTAACATGTAGAGAATCCATAAGTGAATAGCCCCCATAAATAAAATGAAATTGCCAAAGAGTTTTTAGGTTTTGGAATTACTCAAGTATAGCTCTTGGACTCAAAAATATTTGCATGTTTGTAATAAATCATCGCTTCACTCCCTTGCTTTGAAAAGCAAGTTTCTAGCTTCTGATGACACCATTAGAAAACCTGACTTTAGTGAGGGGGAAAAGACGGCAAAACAGAGCTGCAAGTTCAGAAGCAGTGCACAGGGATCTGTTATCAAATATCTTTCTCAACCACAACTCTTTCAATTTATGAACACGTCACCCTTTAACACACGTTTTTACACAGTAGTTACAAAAGAATCAAAAGGACTGTCGGGGTACAGCTCTAACGCCTCCACCTTTACCCCCATCTTTGTTTTGAACAGAAAGCAGAGGTGTTAATGACTAGCTGTGCCAGAACGGACCGGCACAGTGACAGGCCACAACAGCCCGTGTTCTACGGCGGGAGCCCCGTGTCCACGCACACCCGAAGGCGGAGGG